CTAAATTAGATATTCTCTCATTTAATTATTCCATTTTCAAACTGTCCAGCATACTATCATACAGAAACGCAAATCCCTTCAATGTAATGGTGTTTCCAATTTTTTAATGTTGGAAAAATTCTCTCTTTTAACTAATTCCTCCTTTAAGAATTCTCATTTGTTTTTACCAATTCTGCCTACAATGTTGATGAAGATATGAGGCTTATTGCTGCTGTGTAGGACAGTAAAAGCCTGACTGGATTTCAAACAACTACCTAATTTGGCAGCAGTCCAAGAAGGGGGTTGCCCAAGGTGGGGAGAGAGAGAGAGAGAGAGAGAGAGAGAGAGAGAGAGAGAGAGATCCGACTGTCTGAAAAACACACAAGTAATTGTTCATAAAAAAACCCACACGTCTGGGGGGTACTGCTTGAAGGCAGATCGAGGCAGTCTAGGGTGGATGAATCCTGCTGTGTTTAGAGCATGTGTGCTTCTGGAGTTCGGGTGACAGCTGGAGATGGCTTCAGAGAGGCTGCAACAGGAAAATCCCAAGCTCACTCAGAGACTTGGGGGAAATAAGGAAATAAAGTTTAGGTGGTGAAGGCTGGAGCCCCCCTCCAACTTGCAACTCCAGCAGCAGCCCCATGTGCATCTTGGCCTGTACCAGTGACTTTTTCATGAATTTGTACCCCAAACAGGGAGCCAAATGTAGCATGAATAATAAAAGCACAGAGACTGATATTGGGATTCAACCTGAAGATCAGAGAAACAAATCAGCCAAGCCACTAGAGAGCTCTTACCTCCATGAAATCTTCAGCGTGAAAGAGAGCGAGTTCCTGTCTCATCCCAATTTATATTCCTCTCTAGTGCTGGGATTAAAGGCATGCGCTACTACCACCTGGCCTATATGGCTGACTAGTGTGGCTGCTTTGCACTGACCTTGTTGCAAGCTTTATTTATTAAAATACAAATGAAATATTACTATAGTCCTGTTTGAGTTTCTCTGCTGGCTTTCTTCAGTGATGGACCACGATTTGAAGTGTAAGCTTAATAAACCTTTTCTTTCCTTTGGTGGTTTGAATAGGTATGGCACCCATAGACTCATGTGTTTGCATGCTTAATACATAGGGAATGGCGTTATTAGGAAGTGTGGTCTTGTTGAAGGAAGTATGTCACTGTGGGAGCAGGCTTTGTGGTCTCATATATGCTCAAGCTGCGCCCTGTGTGGCACACAGTGTCTCCTTCTGCTGACTGCAGATCAGGATGGAGAACTCTCAGCTCCTCTCCAGCACCATGTCTGCCTGCATACTGCCATGCTTCCCACCATGATGATAATGAACTGAACCTCTGAAACTATTAGCCAGCCCCAATTAAATGTTTTCCTTTAAAAGAATTGTTGTGGGGGGCTGAGTAGACGACTCAATGGTTAAGAGCACTGACTGTTCTTCCAGAGGACCTGGGTTCAATTCCCAGCACCCATATGGCAGTTCACAACTGTCTAAAAATCCAGTTCCAGGGGATCTAACACCTTTATACCAATGCACAAAAAATAAAGTTAAATAAATCACAAAAAAATTTAAAAAAAGAGTTGCTGTGTATTGGCGGAGGCTACTCATTTGTTTCCCAGCCATCCAGACTCCTGAAATCTGTAGTCAGAGGCTGTTCATTTGTTCCCAGCTGCTAAGACCCGAAATAATCACACAGAAACTACATTATTTTCAATACAGTTTGGCCAATAGCTTAAGTGTATTTTCTAGCTAGCTCTTATATCCTAAACTAGCCCATCTCCGCTAATCTGTGTATCACCAATCTGTGTGGCCTACTGGCAAAGTTTCAGTGGGCTCCAGTGGAGGTGTCTGTCTCTTATGGCAGCTGCATGGCTTCTCTCTGACTTTGTCTTCTCTCTCTCTCTCTCTCTCTCTGCATCTCTTTTTGGATTTCCTGCCTGGCTTTACTCTGTTATGCCATTTCCCAAAAGCAGCTTTATTTTTTTAAAAAAATATTTATTTATTTATTATGTATATAATATTCTGTCTGTGTGTATGCCTGCAGGCCAGAAGAGAGCACCAGATCTCATTACAGATGGTTATGAGCCACCATGTGGTTGCTGGGAATTGAACTCAGGACCTTTGGAAGAGCAGGCAATGCTCTTAACTGCTGAGCCGTCTCTCCAGCCCCAGCAGCTTTATTTTTTAAGCAATAAAAGCAACACATAGATAGAGGGACCTCCCACACCAGCTGTGGTCATGGTGTCTCTTTGTAGCAATAGAACCCCAAATTAAGACATTCCTCAACTTGCTTTTTGATTGTAGTGTTTTATCATACAATAAAAACCATAACTAAGACAGGGTATAAGTAATAAACAGATATGTTGCTGAGCTAAAAGCTTGCCTAGCTGGGGAAAATCTGACAGATCCACTTAGGACCAGTGGTAGAAAAATGAGAGCACTAGAAACCAGTAAGTGGGAAGTATGGAAAGTCAAGGCACAGACACTGGCAGAGTCCCAGGGACTGAAGAGAAAGGATGAATTCGTTTCTGTACACTGTGATAATAGTATTGCAGACTAGAGTCAGTAGAAACATATTTTCTTATAGTTTGGGAAACTAGAAGGCCAAGGTCAAGCTAGCTCTATTCTGAACCCTTTCTTTGGCTTACCTTCTCCCATTCCTTTTAGTTTTCCTCCCCCTCACTTCCTCCTTCCTTTTCAGTTTTTGCTCTGCTACCTCTCTGTGTCTTTCTCTCTGTGTGTGTATATACAAGTGGATATGGCATGGCATGTGGGAAGGCCATAGGACAATTTGTAGGAGTCAAATTCCTCCTTCCACCATGTACGTTCTGGAGATTGAAGTAAAGTACCTTTTCCCCCAAGCCATCCTACTGTCCTCCATTTTGGTTTTTAAAGTCAGAGTTTATATGGTCCAGGCTGGCCTCAAACTCATTCACTGTGTGGTTGATACTAATCTTGAACTCTTAACTCTATGCCTTTACCTCTCAAGTGCTAGAAATACAAGCAAGGACACTGTAACCAGTCCAAATAGCCAACCACCCATAGTTTTTCTTCTGTGTGAATCCACTACGGTGTCTCTTGATAAGTCTATTTCTTCTATGAAGACGCCATATAGATTGTCTTGTCTACCTCATGACCTCATTTTTACTGGGTCGCTTCTGTAAGGTCTTTGTTTCCAAATATAGTCACATTCTTAAGTACCAAGAGTTATGGTTTCAATGTATAAATCAGGCTAGGAGACAATTCAGCTTATAAAAATAACTTATAGTTAGGAACAATCTTAGAGAACTGGTCTATGGTTCAGACTGAAGTAAACCAGCAGGGCAGCAGCTCAGGGTGAGAGAAAGGGACTTTCTGGCACCTACTTAAGTTAGATCAGCATGTCAATGGGTAACTCTATTACAACAGTTCCTACTTCCTTGTTTGGATAATTGTACCATGGTTATGCAAGATGTGAACACGTGGGGAGGATTGAGGAGAGAGTATGCGGTGGCTGGGCACTGTGGCACAACCCTGTAACCTTAGCTGGAGGATTAGGAAGATGAGGCTAGGTTACATGAGCCCTGGACTCAAACAAAACAAAACAAATGATCAAAGGTATATGGGAATTCTTTGTATTTTTTGTTTTTGTTTTCTTCAAATGGCATCTTGTTATATAGTCTAGGGCGGCCTCAGCAGCTCCTATTCCAAGTACAGGAATGACAAGGTCTGCCATCACACCCAGCTTCCTTTGTATAATTTTGCTACATATTTTGAAATCTGGAATTATTTCAAAATTAAATCACTGAGTTAGTGAGAGAATTTAAAAGATTAAGGCACTTGTCTCCAAGTCTGACTGCCTGAATTTAATCCCCAGGATTTACAAAGTGGAAGGAGAGAACTGACCTCCACCACTCGAGGACCCAAGTTTAATTTCAGCACCCACATGGCAGTTAATGATGATGTATGTAACTCTGTAGAAACTTGGCATGATATTAATGTACAGACAAAGCACACATACACTAAAAATAAAAATTAAAAATATAAATAAAAGAAAATATCCTTTAAAAGGAGCTAGATTTTTTTAAAGAAAGAAAAAAAATAATATGTTGAACAAACAGAAGACAGGAGCGATACTGAATGAGAGACTGACTATCAAGGAAGGAGGAACAGGCAAGAAAAGGCATGGGTCAAATGAGTTGCAGAACGTCAGAGTTTCTATCTGCTGCCCATACGCCCAATTACCTTTGCTTTTGGAGCTGGTACTATGAGTCTCCAAACCTGTTTTGGGGTGGCAGGAGTCACTGAGACACAAGTTGAAGTGGGGAGAGTAATCGATACATCATCCAGTACTATTTCATTCATGAAATGTCTCAGCCTAACCTTTGACATTTAGCAACGAATTGTGTGCTAAAAGAATGAATTCCCTGCATACAAGCGCCTCAAGTACATTGACACTTTGGTAGCAGAGCTAGCTTGCATTCTCCATTTTTATTGCAATAGTGGGGAACTGAAGCCGGGGCTTTCTGCTAAGTAATCACTACTACAGAGCTTGGTTTCAGCCCCACATCTTTAGAAATAGGATTTACGTGTCACAAAATTTAAGTCCACTTTAAATTGGATCTTGTGGCCCAAACCTGGAATCCCAGAACATGGGAAGTAGAGGCAGGAGAATGGGAGTTGAAAGTCGTCCTCAGCTAAATATGGAGTTGGGTCTCAGTTTGAAACACATGAGATCCCATTTCAAACAAACAAACAAATCCCGACTTTAAAGTGTAGAAGCCACTGGTTTTTGGCATATTCACAAAGTCTGTGAGGTCATCCCCGGTCATCCCCAGTGGCAGCCACAGTTCTTACAAGGCCCGGCCTTTGGGAATGACAGTTCTGCTTTCTATCTGAGCGCCTCTCCTTCTTGAGATTTCTTGTAAATTGTCCAAACCGGGGGGACTCCTTTTGCCACAGAGGCTCCGCCCTCCCGGTGGCCAATCGTGACGGGATTGGGCACGCAGGTTGGGTGTGCATAGTGGTGTCCAATCGCCCTGGTGCCTGAGGCTCAGTCAGGTGTGCAGGAGCGGAAGGCACCCTGGGCGGTATGGCGAGTTGGTGGCGTGTGTTTCCACGCGCCGCGCGGCGCTATCCGTGGCCCACTAATGTGCTGCTCTACGCCGGCCTCTTCTCGGCGGGTGATGCGCTGCAGCAGCGGCTGCGGGGAGGCCCGGCCGACTGGAGCCAGACGCGCCGCGTGGCCACTCTGGCCATAACCTTTCACGGCAACTTCAACTACGTGTGGCTGCGTCTTCTGGAGCGCGCGCTGCCGGGCCGCGCGCCGCGCACAGTCCTGGCCAAGGTGCTGTGCGACCAGACTGTCGGTGGGCCCATTGTCCTGTCGGCCTTCTACGTCGGTGAGGGGCCAAGGCGGAGATCGGAGTCTGGGATTGGGGCACACAGGCCCGGCAGGAGGCTCGGGGAGTGGGGAAGACTGGGGACCGCGGAGACCGGAGATCAGAAACCACTGGGGCTGAGGCAGGAGATGACATCTGCTGCCAGGGAACCAGGGCTGGAACGAGGCCTTGAAGCAACGACAGGAGGACTGGATATTAGGGGATTTTAGGTTTCCGTGAGGAAGAATTTGGGGGCTGCTGGCCAGAAAACTGGAGATCTACCGTGCCAGGGATTCAGGGGGATGGTGTCAGAGCTGAGATGCTAAGGTGTGCAAGAGTGAGTGAGTGTGGGGTCTATGTTCCTCTGGAAAAGGATACATCCAAAAGACTCTGGCTTAGCTAATCTCCTAGTAGCTGCATCCTTGTGCTCTACCTGTTCTGGGAAAAACCACACAGCCAATACACCAATTCAAAGATGAGGAGATCGGTGACTCTGGGGGCAGAGTGGGTGGGACCCGAGATTATAGAAAAGTCTTAATCTTGCTTGGGCAGCAAGAATTCCCTGAGGTGAGGGGCGGGGGTCACAGGGAGAATGGGAGGGGGTTGTGTACCTGAGGAGTTCTCTTCATGCTGGACTGGATGGCTTGACCCTTGGAAGCCTATACTTACTACAGCTTGGTGCAGTGACAAAGGGGTTAGTCACGTCCTGCAACTTGACAGGCTAGATTCCTATTGGATCTCTGAGATATCACAATAGTAAGGTAATACTAATACAATAATAAGGCGGATACTCTCACAATTCCCATGCATGTTATAGAATGAGGAGACATGAATGGAGGGATTTGGAAGTTCACCAGAAGACAGCATAATCCAGGCTTCAGCCATGTTCTTCATCTTAATGTTGGTAGTCATAGTAGGAATTTAGGAAATGATGTTATCCCAGGGTGTGGGAGACACCTATGGTGAAGGCCTGAGGCTTTCTGATACATCACCTGCCGGGATTTTTGCTGCGTCTTGATTCCAGATGTGTGATTCAATCTCCCTCCTTCATGTTCCAGTGAAGGGGAGCATGAGCGGGGGCTGGGAGTTAAAGATGCTCCTTCAAAACTGATAGTCAGGGGCTGCACCTGGACGGGCTTGCTGCTCACCTCACTAAGCACTTTTTTAGACAAAGCCACGCTGTGTAGTGTTTATGGCAGTCCTCCTGCCTCAGCCTCTTGCTTGCTAGTTTTACAGTGCCACCATGACTAACTAGCTGTCTTTTCCTCCTACCAGTTAATTGTAAGGTGGGTCAAGTGATGTGCTGATGTAAGGACTTAGCACTAACTGGGTAAGCAGGTCACAGTACTGGTTGCTGGGTTCTGTCTCTTGTAATTGACAACAACACACTCTTATTTCCACCCCCATCCCCCTAAGTGCAGAGTCAGAATTTTTTAATTAATTTATTTATTTGTTTATAAAAATTTCCACTTCCTCCCCTCCTCCCCAGACCCGCCCATTCCCCCCACTCCCTCTCCCCCCCCACTCCCTCTCCTCCTCCCTCTCCAGTCCTAAGAGCAGTCAGGGTTTCCTGTCCTGTGGGAAGGTCAAGTTCCTCCAGGTCTAGGAAGGTGAGCATCCAAACAGACTAGGATCCCAGAAAGCCAGTACATGCAGACAAAACAAGACCCAGCGCCATTGTCAATGGCTTCTCAGTCAGCTCCCATGTCAGTCACATTTAGAGACTCCGGTTTGATCACATGCTCGTTCAGTCCCAGTCCAGCTGGCCTTGGTGAGCTCTCATTTGATCAGTCCCAAAATTTTTAAGGGTTGTTTTTACACACCTTTAAAAGTAAGGTTCTGGCTCTATTTCTTGAATGTTAAACTCTGGTTAGAATATACTGATGGGAAATTTGTAGTTGCTGGAATGTCCAAGGCCCAGTAGTTTTTATCTTTAAAGGAATGAAGTTAGGGTGAGAGTGTGGCAGTGTAACTCAGTGGTAGAGCATGGGCTTAACCATGGTGGAGGCCCCAGGTTTAATCCCAGCACAACTAAAGAAGAACAAAAGAAAGGAAGGAGAAGAAAACTGGGAAAGGTTAATTTTTGTTGTTGTTGTTGTTTCCAAAGTTGGTGCCCGGGCTGCAACTCAGTTGGTAGAGGGCTTGGACTCTGGACTCTGCTCCCAGCAACACATGCCTGGGAATGGTGGTTCCCATCTGTAGCTTTCCAACACGCGAGAGGCAGAGACAGAGGATCAAATCATCTTTGCTTATCTAATAGTGAGTTTGAGACCAACCTGTGATACTTGAAGTCCTGTCTCACAAAACAACAAATTAGCTAGGGGCTCACACTTTTAATCCCAGCACTCAGAGGCAGAAACAGGTGGATCTCTGTGAGTTCGGGGCAAGCCTGGTCTGCAGAGTGAGTTCCAGGACAACCAGGGCTATATAGAGAGGGGAAAAGAAAGGACTGGAGAGATGACTCAGCAGTTAAGAACACTTGTTCTTGCAAAAGACCAGGCTTCAATTTCCAGCACCCACATTGTGGCTTGCAACCTTATCCACAGTGTGTGGTATCCATACATGTGAGGAAAGACACCTGCTACTAACCCTGACAACTGTGGAGCCCTCAGGGTGGGCAGAGAACTGACCTCAGCAGTTGTTCTTTGGCCTCCACACTTGGGCAGTGGCAAATGCAAACACACAAGTAAATAAACAAATAAATGTAAAATAAACATAACCTGGAAAGACACCAGCAAGCTTGTCATCCAATGCTAGCTTTAGTTTGCGTTTTGTGGATTCTTCGTTTAGGTAAAGAATCATTCTGCTGTAACTTTTATACCTGGCTATTCTTAACTTCCTACTTGGTGTTCCTTTAAATTTAGTTTTAAAACAGAGATATTTCTGTTTTTCTGTTGAGTCAACAGTCACATAGTGAATGATTGGAGTTGGCTGTGCCTGGATGCTGTTGGGATGAGAAACTTGACCGCTGTTAGACAGTGGCCATTCTACTTCTGAAGTCCTGGTATGTTTCTGTAAATAGGCATGAGCATTCTTCAGGGAAAGGATGACATATTTTTGGACCTGAAGCAAAAATTCTGGAATACATATAAGGTAAGACTAGCTTTTGAAAATATAATCGTATCTTTTAAAATATTTTTAACATTAAAGAAGAAGGCTCCGTGGGTAAAGGAGTTGCTGCCCAGCCTGAAGACCTGCCTTCTGCCCCTGGACTTCCATGGCGATTCTCACAGTTGTCCTTGAACTTCCCCCACAGGGACGTGATTTATCTAGTGGAATGATGGGGCTTAGGAGTGTGGAAGTCAGAGGTCCACTTGTGGGCGATCTCTCCTTCACTGTGTGGATCCCAGAGGTTGAAGTCAGGTCCTGAGATTTAGCAGCAAGCTCCTTTACCCACTGAGCCATCCTGCTAGCCCACCTAGCTTTTCTTTCAGTCTCTTCTTCCCTCTTCTCCCTTTCCCTTCCTTTTCTTTCTGCTTTTTTATTTCCTCCCTTCCACTCTTTTTTTCTTTCCCTACTTCCCTCTTTCCGTTCTTGAACACTGATCTCTATAAGTTGACCAGACTGGCATTCAGTTCACTGTAGCTCTGACAGCCCTCACTCTGCTGATTCTCCTGGGACCTCAGCCTCTGGAGGAGATGGATCGCAGGTTTATACCACCAGGACAGACTCCAAACAACTATGATTAAGTTAGACTTAACTTTGGCTGATCTGGGAATCCAATATTTCAAAAAAGCATTGTCTCAATTTTGTGACATTTTGTTTTGTTTTAATGAAAATGGGTATCTCATGATGTCGCCCAAACTGGTTTACAACTTTTGGGCTCAAGCAGCCTTCCTACCTCAGCCTCCCAAGTAACTGAGACTGTTAGGTTGGTGCATCTGCTTCGCGGGGACAGGAAGTAAACACTGTCGCTGCATTCAGGCAGGTGTTCACGATGATTTCTGACTTCATTAGATTTGTTCTGGTCAGCAATCACAATTTATTCAATAGGTTTCCAAACCTATTTGCAAAACAGGAATTGTGGGCTGTGGGCCGTCAAGGCATTGTCCCCACTGCTGGTGCAGCGATGTGTGTTCCGCTGGTCCTGTGAAAGAGCCTTCTCCATGTCACAAAGGTGTTTCCCAGACTTATTCCTAGTGAGGCAAATCTACTGCTGTGTTCTTTCTTCAGGACAAAAGTCTATGTTGCTGTTGAGCCAACACTACCCATGCATTCAGTGAGGGCTTGTTGTCTTCAGGCCTGACAAAGTCAGTGACATTTCTCAGCTTTGACCCAGCACTAGACTGATTCAATTAATAATAACAATCAGATAGATAAATTTCAAAATCCCAAAATATATCCCTAATGTCTTTACTTGTACTTAGTCTCTGTCTGGGGTAGAGCACCTTAGCAGTGCTGAGGGTAGAGCTATAGCTTGGAGGTAGAAGTGTTTGTTTAGTGGAGGGATTCTCAGTTTAAAGACACAAAAGTGAAGACAATATGAAGCCACATTGAGCTGTCACTTGCAGTGTTTCTATCGTCTTCTGGTGGATGGATCTGAGCCCAGAACCAGCAATGTCCATTTGATGATTGAAGGTAGACTGGAGATCTGAAGCCAGAGAACCCCAGAGTCCCTATAGTTAGGGACATTTCCTGCAAGGAAGGGGTTTAGAACTCTTGCTACTTCTCTTGGGTTAGAAATTGTGCTTCTACAGCAACTTTGGAATGTGACTTCCTTGTCATTTATTTTAGAAGGGAGTGAGGTTTCCCATTATATCAGATTCAAGAGAGATACATACATATGACATGTTTTATTAATTTAAACATTTATTGATTTTATTGTTTGTTTTGAAACAAGGTCTCACTGTGTAGCCCAGGCTGGCCCAAACCTACTCTGTACTCAAGACTGGTCCCCAAATGTATAGTAATCCTTCCTCAGCCTCCTGAGTGCTGAGATTATAGGCGTTGTAGGCTACCACACTGAGCTGTATGTCAAATGTTAGAAAGAAGAGGCAGCAGAATTGGCAGTACAGGGCCTTGGTAATCTCTTCCCTTAGTACTGCCTTGGGTACAAGACCTAGGATTCTTGGCATGTCTTATGTCTTTATTTCCTTTCTAACACTGGGATTAGATCCAGGTCCTCACATACATAACCTATCCCTCCTTACCTACCCCAGTCTATTATTGTTATTGTTGTTGAAATTATTGTCTTATGTAGCTAAGGCTATCCTTGAGCTCATTATGTAGCTGAGGATGACCTTGCATGCTGGGACTTGAACCCAGAGCTTTGTGAATGCGAGGCAAACATTCTCCCAACTGAACCATATCCTCAGCCCTATTTACTTATTTTTTTTTCCCAGTGGACCCCAAGCATGCTAGACGTGCATGCTACCACCGAGTTACACCAAGCTTTTTTTATCAATCATTTTTGAGGAAGGGGTCACTGAGTTTCCTAGGCAGTTGTAGAACTTGCAATCCTCCTGCTTCAGTCTCCCAAGTAACTGGGATCACAAATCTTCCAAGTAGTCTGAGCCTCTTTCCCCTCTATTCTCTTTCCCCTTCCATTTCCTTCCCTTCTATTCCCCCTTCCTTCACCTTCCCTCTTTCCTACAGTGCTGGGGCTATCATTCAGGGTCTTGTGCATGCTAGGTACCTGTGTACATCTTAACCTCTGCACCATTTCTGAGCTGCCCTGCTGTGCTGGGTACTGTGTGGTGAGTCTTCTTGGCCCTGGTGTTCACCAGGTGCCACTCAGCTCTGGACTGTGAGCAAGGGCCTGCTCTTTTGTCCCAGCCACTTCTTTATGGTGGGTATGTACTCTGGGGTTCTTCTTTATTGTGGGTATGTACTCTGGGGTTCTTTTCTTTTTCTTCTAGCAGTTTATAATTCATTGTGATGTTTAATTAATTTTGGTGCTCAAAAACATTCCAGAGTTGGGTAGTGGAAGGCCCTTCAAGTTGATTTCTGTGTTCCTGCAAAAAGACTCCTATCTTTCACACATACATACACATACATGCTCGTGCGTGCACACGTGCGCGCGCGTGCACACACACACACACACACACACACACACACACACACACACACAATACATACTCTACCTCCCAAGTGCTAGAATTAAAGATTTGCCAACTGGCTCATGTATATATTTTATTTTTTAATTTTATTTATTTTGATTTTTTCGAGACAGGGTTTCTCTGTAGCTTTGGAGCATGTCCTGGAACTAGCTCTTTTAGACCAGGCTGGCCTTGAACTCACAGAGATCCGCTTGCCTCTGCCTCCCAAGTGCTGCAATTAAAGGCATGCACCACCACTGCCTGACTCGTGTATATATATGTATATATATATACATATATATATATGTGTATATATATGTATTTATTTATTTATTATGTGTACAATATTCTGTCTGTGTGTATGCCCACAGGCCAGAAGAGGGCACCAGACCCCATTACAGATGGTTGTGAACCACCATGTGGTTGCTGGGAATTGAATTCAGGACCTTTGGAAGAGCAGGCAATGCTCTTAACCTCTGAGTCATCTCTCCAGCCCCCTTGTGTATATATTTTTAAAAATTAATTATTGTGGCTCTTACTTATAACCCCAGCACTCAGGAGGCTGAGGTAGGAAGACTACTATGAGTTTGAGACCAAGCTGAACTACAGAGCAAGACCCAATTACAAAAGCAAATAAATTTAAAAAAATGATTTTGAAAATTAAGATGTTGGCAAGATGACTCAGTAGGTAAGGGGGCTTGCCACCAGGTCTGAGAATCTGAGTTCAGTCTCAAAGACTTCTGCAAGTATCTTCTGACTTGCCTACCCCCCCCCCCACACACATGTGCACACGCACACACACACTAAATATATGTAAGAAAAAATTATGTAATGTCAGCTAATCTTGTTCTGCATTAGATAGGTTGGGTGCGTGTTGTTCCATAAAGAACTGTTTGGGACTGTGCAGTGGTGGTGCACACCTTTAATCCCAGCATTTAGCGGGCAGAGGCAGGCAGATCTCTGAGTTTGAGGCCAGCCTGGTCTACAAAGCAAGTTCCAGGACAGCCAAAGCTACACAGTGAAACTGTGTCTTGAAAAACAAAAACAAACAAACAAATAAGAACTGTTTGGATTAGCCAGGTGTGGTGGCACGCGCCTTTTTGTCCCAGCAGTGGGAGACAGAGGCTGGCGGATCTCTGTGAATTCTAAGCCAACCTGATTTATAGTATGGGCCAAACTCCAGGCCAACCAATGACACTATAGTGAGGCCCTATCTCAGAAAAAAAATTCTTTTGGTTTGGAATATACTTTGAAGAATTCACTGATTAAAAACCATGTAATATATATATTATATTCTGATACTCACTTGGAAATTATAATATGTAAATACATGTGATTATTTTAAAGTGTCTATTGCTTCCAGAATTTCATGCTGACTTTTCATTCCACACTTATAACTAACAAAAAGTGTACTCAGTTACGAGCTGTGCCCTCAAGTCTCCACTTGCTCTATTCTCAAGATGTCAAGGAGTCTCCATTTAATCAGCTCAGAGTGCAATCCAGACTTTGCTGGGCAGCCTACATGCCTGACATTTCTTAGTGTCTTATAGAATGAACTATGTGTTTGTTTTGTAACTAGACAGCATTCTAATGAGGGCTTTCTTTATTCCAGAGTGGTCTGATGTACTGGCCCTTTGTGCAGGTGAGTGCCAAGCTGTAGAGAATCCGGGTCTGGGGGCTGGAGAGATGGCTCAGCTGTTAAAGGCTAGGCTCACAACCAATAGTATAAGAGAATCTGGGGCTGGGCCTTGGCTCTATGGGAGAGCATTTGCCTGTCATGTGCTGGGTCAAAAGGTCAGTTCCTGGCATGAAATATAAACAAAATCCCAAACAAACTGTTACCTATGCATTCCTAACAGACTCTTTCTACATTACAGCTGACCAACTTCAGCCTGGTTCCTGTGCACTGGAGAACAGCGTATTCAGGACTGTGCGGTTTCCTCTGGGCCACCTTCCTGTGCTTTTCCCAGCAGAGCGGTGATGGCACAGTGAAGTCCGTGTTCATCTTCTTTCTCAGGAAGGAGGCGAGTGACAGGCCTCCAGAAGAGTGAGGAGTCCAGGACTCCTGCAAAGACTCAGTTTTGTTTCTCCATTGCTCTCGGTCACCTGCAGCAGGCCTGCTTCACCAATCAGTTATTATGGGCTCTGTCATGAAGAATTCCTTTTCCATAGGCCCACTTGTTTTGAAATTATCGATGACTTTTTTAACTGTCATCCAAACCTTTCCCATTCATTCCAGCTTGAAAGTCTTCCTTCCGTGTTCTCACATCTCTAGTGCTTTGGCTAAAATTACAAGTGACAGGTGACATTTTGAAGTTATTACTATTTCTATTCTAATACTATAAGGCCAGTTGAGTTTTAAGAAACCTCCAGTTTTGATTGTTTATATTTCTAGCCTAAACTCTCGGACTATTTCCTACACGTCAGGATCAAATTGCCATTGGTCCTTATAGTTCAGTTCCTATCTTCCTATCTACATAGAGTTCAGTGAAGACATTTGAATAATAAGCCTCCCCAGATACTCGATAATAATTCATTACATCAACACTGAAGTCTTCTTTCTTTCTTTCTTTCTTTCTTTCTTTCTTTCTTTCTTTCTTTC